TAATAATTATTGATTTAACTTATAAAGAAAAGAAATAGGGAGCTGACTGGTTCCTGACCAACACGTCACTATCAGACTAATGTAGAGCAGATAATAAAGTGTTTGTGTTTTTCTTTATCGTATTACCTAAAATATGTTTTCTGTGTTGCAAGGTTTCTTCCTTAAGTCACCTTTTTTTCTGTTTTATTAATAAATTTGATGATTTCTTTTTACAATATTTGATGGGTTTTTTCTACAGTTATTTGATTTTATTTAGTAACGTCACTGGATGGCAGTTTGTGCTGATTTTAGGGGAATAAACTGAATTAAATGTTTTTACCACTTTCTATATTCACAAAGACAAACGTTAGTAAGATCAATGTCCATATAAAACACATTTCTTCTACATCTGAATGATCTGAAGAAATGTACTAAGAACTGAGGAGGAGATATTCAATTAATATAAGAAATACACACAAATATAACTTGTTTTAGAGGTGGACAGATGTCTGATTACATTTGTGGAGGGAAACTAAAACACTGTTCAGAAACAGATGAACGTGAGGTTTGTGTTTAACCTTCAAAATAAAGGCACGATCAGAAGCAGTTAAACTATTTAGTTGAATTATCTACATTAAATTAAATTCAGGCTACATGAGACAAAAAAGCTTCACTCTCATTTATTTTCACATCATGAAAATACGTTTTTAGATCATGTACGTATTGTTTAGTAGCCTACAGCCTTTTAATTAATATGATCTATTAAATCTAATATATTTTAAACACATATTTGTACATGTATATAGTGTATTATAATATTTTATATTTGGGAACGTGTGACTGGTGTTTTTCTTTGTGTAACTCATCCACAATGAGTCTTTCTCTTATAAACATTCTGGCGGTTAAATGGAAGAATAGTCCAGTTTGAGCGGTCTTGTTTTATTGTGAAAAGGCCGAATGGCGCCAAACGGAAGCGTTCTGATGACAGGAAGCTAGAACGAGCTCGTCTGTGATTGGCCGATCACAGTAACGCTCGCTCGCTGCTCGGTATAAAGCTGGGTTCCGCTGTCTGAGAATCATTCTCCTTTCGACTCTGACTCGAGAAATAACCTGAAAATGTCTGGACGTGGAAAGACCGGAGCCGGAAAGGCCAGAGCGAAGGCAAAGAGCCGTTCATCCCGGGCTGGACTCCAGTTCCCCGTCGGTCGTGTCCACAGGCTGCTGAGGAAGGGGAACTACGCTCAGCGTGTCGGTGCGGAGCTCGGTGTACGCTGGCCG